AGTGAGTGACGGAATGAGCAGGCAAAAAGCGTATGTATGTGTAAGAGATGAATACCTGACCCTCTAGGAACAGAAGGTATTTATAGCCCCCAGCGCGGGGCCAAGGTCCCCTCATTGGGCCGACCAGGACTGACCCAATAAAGGAACTGTCAGGTTCTACGTGTGTAGTGGGGACCCGCACATGGTCTCCTTCCTGGTGATGCTCTGCGAGAAATGAGGAGGGACGAAGACGCGATCTTTCCGGAATTCATGTGATTTGGTAACGGTCAGAATCTGCCCTACGAGGAGGATGTCCGAGCTGGACTCGAGCTGGAGTTTCCGTGGTCGGGGACACCATGTGTCGCGGGCAACGGCGGGGAACGACTGCAGTCTGTGGTCGGGCGAGCTGGAAGGAATCCTCGGGCGCGCGCCCCTCGAGGAGTTGCTTGGATTGGGTCTTTGTTCTTACTTTTGGGCTAGGACGGGCCCAGTCCAAAACAGTAACCTTTGAAGAATAGGGAAAAAGTATTGAGCTCCAAGGATGAGTTTGGTGTTGAGAGTTTTTCCTTTGAATTGTCGTATAGGATCGTCGGGGGGAAAAAGGTTTCCTTGAGTTTGATTTTGATTCTTTGTAGAGTGCTTACGTGTGGTGGTGGAACGACTTGGTGCACATCTATTGTTATTTCCACGAAATCTGAATGCATAACGTTGCTGCTAGTACTAGTACTAGGCTCGTCCATATTGGAATTACGTCGAATACCTTAGGAGCATGAGAATATGGAGAAAATTAGGAGATTTTGTGTAATGTTTTCTTGATGCATGCACGAGAGTAATGGTGCATGGAGTTGATTATTTTTTTTCAGAATTTTAGCATAGAAATGTTGTTAGTTAACACATGACGTGTGATGCTAATGATGAGTATGAAGTCATGTTGTTAACAGTTTTTTTTTTTGCCATTCATTGTGTTTTTCTTTGATTCGGAGTTGAGTGGAGGAGATGTGAGTGAGAATTTGAGGGAGAAAATCGGGGGAGTTCAGATCAGTGATATTTTCTTTTTGTTGATTGTAAAAGATATATTGTATTTTATATATATATATATATATATATATATATATATATATATATATATATATATATATATATATATATATATATATATATATATATATATATATATATATATATATATATATATATATATATATATTTTAAATATCTTAGTTTAATATTGTATATTAATTATACAAGGTATAAATAATATTGTGTTGCTTTCCTTAAATATCTTTGTTTAATTAATATACAATGTATAACTCCTAGTGTTTCTAAATGAAATTATTATATAAGATGATAAAAATGATTTTTTTCAATATTGTTCTTTCATGTAATTGAAGTTTTCGATGGTTTATTTTGATAGATTTGAATAATAAATAAGATAGATTGAGAATTGAAGTATTTAATGAAATTTGATTTTTTAAGGTTCAATTTAATTATGTTGCGAGAGAAAATCAGTAGAGAAAGTTTGCCATTGACAATGTCGACAAGGATATGTCCTCCGGAGACAACCTCACTGCATGATTGGCGAGGAGGACCGACAACGCTCAGGAGGTCCTCGCGAGCACCTTCCTCGTAGGGCAGACATCCAACGCCCCTGAATGTCACGGAGTCCTCTTGACCCTGAAAGGACCGCATCTACGTTCTTCTGATAATTCAGAGGAGTCTATTCAGGTTGGGAACCACGTGCTGGCCTCCACTATACACGTAGGACCTGACAGTCTCCATTTTGAGCCTGCTTGGTCAGCCTAACAATAGGGACTTTGGCTCAGTGCTGAGGGCTATAAATACCCTCTCACTTGAGAGGATCAAGTATTTATTCATTCACACATGCTCTCACGATTTACTTGCACTTACTTTGAACCTTACTTTGGCATTGAAGTGTCTTGCAGGTACCCCCACTTCACATTCAACCACTGCTCGACTTAAAGCTCGTGGACCTTGACAATCTCTTCTGATCAGGTACGATCAATTATAATATTTATTTTTTATAGGAGGAGTTTGATAGACAACTTGCCATAAAGTTGTCAGAGCATCCTGAATTACCTGGACCACCATCAAGAGTAATTCCTTCTAGCTTCTTCGTAGGACATATGTTTAAAATGTATGTTGCAGTCGAAACAGCTTCACCCCAAAACTCTTTAGGTAAATTCTTGCCTTCCAACATACTTCTCACCATATTCATGATGGTTCGATTCTTTCTTTCTGCAATTCCATTATATTATGGAGTATAGGGTGGCACCACCTCATGCACAATCCCTTCCTTTTCACATAACCTGTCGAAGTCTTTCGACACATACTCTCCACCACCATCAGTTCTCAAAACTTTGAGTTTTCGACCACTTTGTTTTTCGACCATAGACTTAAACTTGGCAAATACTTCGATCACTTCACTTTTCTTCTTAATCAGGTAAGTCCACAGCTTTCGAATGAAATCATCTATGAATGTAACAAAGTATTAGTTACCTCCCATTGAATCCACCTGGATTGGTCCACATACATCATAGTATATGACTTCAAGAATAACCTTCGACCTACTTCATACATCCTTGCTGAAGCTATTCTTGTGTTGTTTCGCCTGCACACATTCCTCACATACCTCGTTTGGAATGTCAATTTCTGGCAATCCTGAAACCATATTTCTTCTCTTCAAATCTCGGATGTCTCTGAAGTTGAGATGGCCTAGTCTATAATGCCATATCCCTTCATCTCTGCTAGCTGTAGTCGAAAGGCACTTGTGCTCCATCACATTTAGTTCGATCTTGAAAGTTCGATTCTGAGACATAGAAGCCTTCAAGATTAATCTTCCATTTACATCGACGAATCTCATCATCTTATCTTCAATTGACAATTTATAATTCTTTTCGACCAACTGCCTTATACTGAGCAAATTGCTCTTCATGCCTGGTATGTACAACACATTGGAAATTACTGACCTCTTTCCATCTTTCCTCATAATTATAACATCACCAATACCTTTAGTTGCTAGGGTATTGTCATTTGCAAATTTTACCATATTTTTTATTGAGGGTTTTATGTTCACAAACCAGTCTTTCCTTCCAGACATATGTGATGAGCATCCTGAATCCAAGTACCATTGGTCCTTGAATCTATCTTCATATCTTGTTGTGACCATTACATCATCTCTTCTTTTTCATGTTTTACAAACTTTACATCACTTTCTTGATTCTTTCGCTTTTCTGGACAATCACTCGAATAGTGACCATACTTTTGACAATTGTAACATTGAATGTGACTCTTATCAGGTTTTCGACCACCATCTCTTCCTCTATTTGCAACACCACCTCTTTGGTTGCCTTGGTATGGTCTTCTCTGATTCGACACATTTCGTTCGTTCTGATTTCCTCTACCAGTCAATTTGTTGTAGCCACCTCTACCTCTGTCAAACCACTTTCCTTTGCATTTGGTTTCTTTTGCTGAATGTACCTGCAAAGCCACATCACTCTTCGACTTTCCTGCAGTTCTTTCATTCATTCTTTGTTCATGAGATTCAAGTGTCCCTTGAAACTCCTCCTTTGTCAATTTCGACAAGTCCTTCCCTCTTCTATAGCCATCACCACGTGGTCGAACTTAGGATCCAAAGATCTCAAGATCTTAGAAACAACAGCTCTTGTTGTTAATGTTTCTTCATATGCCTTGATTTGATTCACTAGTTTTGTAGCTCTAGTGAAGAAATCATATATGCTTTCACTATCTTCCATCTGAAGCAATTCATACGTTCTCTTGTGATTTTGTAACCTCACTTCTTTCACCTTTTCTGCGCCACCAAAGGACTTCTCAAGAACATCCCAAGCTTCTTTTGCAGATTCTGAATCACTTACTTTTTCAAAATTGTCTAGACTCACACATTGATGAATTATGAATAGTGCTTTATAACTCAGCTTCTCAATTTTCGTGTGTTTCTTCTTTTCTTCTTCTGAAGCGTTTTCTCCAAGCGCTTCGAATCCATCTTTTACAAGATCCCAAAGTCCTTGACATATGAACAACACTTTCATATGTTTGCACCAATTCTCATAGTTGTCTACTTTCAGAATTGATAGAGTTACTGGATAATTTGCATTCTCATAATTCGCCATCGTGAATTCTTTTTCTTCCTCAATCGTTCTTGATTGATACTTCCCTTGAATCAAAATCGAGCTCTGATACCAGATGTTGGAAATCCACCAAATATCTATGATGAATTTATACCACAATGACAATGAATTATGAGAAAAAAGAAAGATGTCAATTATTTTTTGCAGAGTTTCTCTCTGCCCACAAATTGTGGAAAACTTTCGTATTTACTTTGCAACTGCAAAATACTGTGAATGACTTGATTGACTTGATTACAAAATTAGGGGTTACTCCCTCTATTTATAGATTTAGCTTGCACCCTAAGCTCAAAACTATAAAAGTCCAAAATATATTTTTTGGTACTAAATTAAATCTATTTTATTTTATATCTAAATCAAATCTATTTAAATCTAAAACAAATCTAATCTCTTCGACACACATAATTTCGACACTATAAATTACAATTTAATAATTTAAACATTTAAGAATTAGACATCGTTAGATGCGATTATACCAACACTAATCTATTAATAATATATATTAAAAATGTATTTTCGATTTTACATAAGTGCAATTTAAAAAAAGTATGCATCGAAAAATATATTTTTAATTTTGAAAATGATAATTTCGAAATTGTATATGATATTTATTTTAAAAATGTAATGGAATAAAATTCCCTAAAAGTTTAACCCATACATACTCCTTGAGAGCATACATAGTACATGTACCAGTACGTTACTATAAAATTGGAATAAGCAAAATAATTCACAATATGCCTGTAACCTCAATATAAGGAAAGAATGCTTCCCCAAAAATCCTGAAAAATAATTGCATTGCACATTAGTTATATAAATGGGTAATAACATGGGGGCATTACATTTTATTACCAATACAAAATGGCATCGTCCTTTGAAGGCGGCGCAGCAGCCTCCCTGAAGACGGTGCTTGATCGCGTCCACCAGGCCGCCGATAGGTCAAACCGGAACGTCAAAGAAATCCGGGTAGTGGCGGCGAGCAAGACCAAGCCAGTTTCTGCTCTCCGGCAGGTGTATGATGCCGGTCACCGATTCTTCGGTGAGAATTACGTTCAGGAAATCATCGATAAAGCACCTCAGGTTTGTTCAAATTCATCGTTTCTCACTCTTCCAAATCCATGCTTAGATAAGATTTCTTTCATTGTTTGCTTAACTGTAACGCAGCTTCCAGAGGATATTGAATGGCATTTCATCGGTAATTTGCAGAGCAATAAAGTCAAGCCTCTTCTTGGTATGGTACTTGACTTCATTCTCTTAAATTAAGTGCAGTTGTTTTTATGCTGGAAGTGAATTTGATGTATAACTATATAACTAGTGTGAAATTTGAAAAAAACTTAATCACAAGGGTTGATGTACCAACACTCCTTTTTTTAAAGTGGAGATAAGCTCATTATCACATTCATAATCTTTTGTATCTTAGGGAGGAGCTTAACATGTTTTGGTTCTTATTTGATATTTCTGCAGCTGGTGTTCCCAACCTTGCTTATGTAGAGACTGTAGATGATGAGAAGGTAAACGTTCTTGTTTCTTCCTGATTTCTTTTTTCCATGTTTATTCAAGTTAATGAGTACAAAATTACAAATAAGAATATAAGTTTTACATAAATTTTAAATGGGGGAATAGAACATGCACTGGACGTGGAAACAGTCGAACAAGATGAATTTTATCTTAACATTTTGGGATTTCACTTGGACGGTTATGTTGTTTATATATTTGATGTCGAAAGTAGTCTATATACAGTATAGGATGTTTCTCAACGGTAACTTTACTGATGGGCCTTACATTAGATGCAGGCCATGCTGAATACTGACTAGAAGTAACTGCAGCACTGCCATTTCTTATCAATTTCTTAGGAATTCTGTTCAAAGGAAGAAGTTTAATTTAAAATGTTTAGGAAAGTAGTCTAATTAATATGTTCTATCAAAGAATATATTTTGATTTTGTGCAGTCATGATCTTAGCTTCTTTTATATTATATTGCAAATGATGCTTCTTCATTTCTGGTTTTAGTTCATTTTTTTCTTTGTTTGTAGATAGCAAACCTTCTTGATCGTGCTGTAGCCAAAATTGGCAGGAAACCATTGAAAGTTTTTGTTGAAGTGAATACAAGCGGAGAAGCATGTAAGTTACACCTGATAGATTTGCCAGCAAATTTAGTATCTACCATCTCTTAATAAAGTTGTTTTGGTTTTGTTGGAAGACGTATATGTAAGTCCCAAAATAATTCTCGTGGCTTCTACTAGACTGATATGAAATAGAATCACAGTAACAAGAAAATATAGCTCCCAATTCTTTCATAGAAATTATGTTCATAAAATAACTGATTCTAACATCATAGATTTATAGGTAGTGTTAATATGCACCCTGTATTTATTATAATGAACTGCTTGATTTAAGAGCTTGCAGGTTTAGAAAATGTGCTGTATATAATTGTTATTCATTTAGCTGTCCCGTAATATAATGTTTTTGACAGTGGTTTCAGTTTATTCCTGATCTAAAAAATGACCTTTTACTGACATTTCTTGCAGCTAAATTTGGTGTTGAACCAGCACTGTGTCTAGACCTTGTAAAACAAATTGTTACAAATTGTCCAAACCTGGAATTTTGTGGCCTAATGACAATTGGCATGCTGGATTATTCATCCACCCCAGAAAATTTGAAGGTTACAACCATGGGTTTTGACATGATTCTTTGGTATTTTTGGTAATATTCCAGACTAAATTTTATTTTGTTCTTTCTAGACATTATCCAAATGTAGAACTGAAGTATGTGAGGCAGTTGGAATACCAGAAGCACAATGTGAGCTATCAATGGGCATGACTGCAGACTTTGAGCAAGCTGTAAGGAAATATTTTCTTTGAAAATACTAAGTTATACATATTTAGTGATGTGATCATAATATTTCTTTAACTATCTAAATCTCTTTTTTTTTTATATAGATTGAGATGGGAAGTACAAATGTTAGGGTTGGTACTGCCATATTTGGGCCCAGAGAGTATCCACATAAAGAAGAGAAGTAGATGTCCTCATTTTGCTGTCTTATTTGGAGTAATATTGTTGTGCTTATAGATTCACATGTGAAGTTGTAGAGCAGCAGAAAAAATTATTTTAGCTGGAAATAAATATGCTCATGAGCTTGATGGTAGTAGTTTACAAGCTCCGTGAGCTCTGTCTTCAGAAAATAACCTTCAAGGCCAAATACTATATATATTGTTGCTTGTAAAATGTAAAATTCAACCTTTTTTTTAACTGAACTAGTACTAAGGTAGTCTATTTTTGACAAGAGGACTGTGATAATCTTGAAAAGTCAAAACCTTTTATCATCATTATAGCAAAGTTTGCTATTATCTTTTGCATAACCAATTGAATGTTTATGGTGTTAGGAGTTAGGAATATATTTATTTTTTGATCAACTCTTGTGAAAGGAACTGGGTTTAAAATGATGAACTGAAAGAATTTCTTATCAAATGAATGTCTCTAAATTGAATACTCATGTTATTGAGAGAAAAATTGGATTATCCGACCAGAACTCTCAAACATAGTGTATTTTCAACCACTAAAATGTTCATTTATTCTCTGAGAAAATGTTTGGATTAATGGAATATAATGGATCGAAGTGGAATGAAACATAAAAATGTTTGGATTAATGAAATATAATGGATCGAAGTGGAAAGAAACATAACGGAGGGGAATGAAGCGGAGCGGAATGGAAAATATATCTTATTTTATTGTTTGATTATTTTATTAAAAATGTGTCATTCTATTACATACACTCTAAATTAAATTGGATATAACAAAAAAATGGAGAATTGAATGGAATGAGAGGGTGAATTCTATTGTATTTCATTTTATTTTATCTATTATTTACAAATTCAAAGAATGAAATCGCATTAGTTATCACTTCATTCCATCATATACTACCAATTCAAATATATTTTAAATCCGTGAATTCAAACTAAATTGTCTTAAACATTTTCTGCTTTTATAATCTTGGTCATGCCTTGAAGATAAGATGGTTAAAAATTTGAAGTTGTACTATAACCTACTATGAAGATAGTTTTGGTAAATAATTATTACACAAATCTATCCGACTATTAACATGACTTTGTTTGGATTGATAGATTCGGATGGAGCGAGTGAAGTGAATCAAGTGGTATAGATTTTATTTCATTTCTGTTAGTACGTTCAATTGGATCAATGGAGGTTTTATGTTTATGGAGAAGATAAAGCGGGAAAATAAGAGAATTAGAGTAAGGGAGAATAATTGAGGGTGAGAAGAGAAATTTTCATTAATTTTGTACATTACAACATTGAGACTAATTATACAAGCTAAACAAAACAAGTTGGGATTAAAACAACTCAAAAATAAGTTGAAAAAGCTAAAACACGGGTTGGTAATCGGTTACGTAAAATCAGGTAACCGATTTCCACAACAAAACAATAGAAATAACAGTCTGCATGTAATCGGTTGCGCCATTCTGTGTGACCGGTTATGAACCCGAAAAATTGCTTTTTTTTCACTTCTATAAGTGCTTTTTTAATAAGTTGAAACCTCCAATTAGCTTCCAGAAGCTTATAATATGCATTTGAATTATATAAACTTTCAATACACTACCTTAATTCAAATGCTTCAAGTTTTCCATGCACATGCTCACTTTCAATTTCTTGAACAGTATTTTTTACTCCCTTTGTCAACAAGTCAGCAACTTGGTCTTCACTTCTACAATATCCCAACCTTAACTTGCCTTCACTTACCAGCTCCCTCAAGTAGTGAAATCTCATCTCAATGTGTTTGTTTCTCCCATGTGCAATAGGATTCTTAACAAGATTAATAGCTGAAACGTTGTCAATCAAGAGTGCGATAGTCTCACCCTCATTGTTGCCCAGCTTCTGCAGTAAATTCATCAGCCACATAACTTAGCACGCATATAACAATTCGATAATATACTTGGCCTCACAAGAAGAGAGTGCGACCACTAGTTCCTTTTTAGAACACCAAGAGATTAGTGCTCTTCCGAACATAAAGATGTAACCAGCTGTAGACTTTCAATCATCTTTATCTCCGCATCAATTGGAATCGGTGAAACTGAGAAAATTGCATTTTTTGCTCGTATCTGCTGCCGGAAAAAGAATTCTACAGTCAATAGACTCTTTGACGTATCTTAGGATTCTTTTGACTGTTGTCATCGGTCTCTCCATGATTCTACTCATAATACCAACACTAAATACTAAATTTGATGCGTATTACACAAGTAACGTAACGACCCAATCAATCTTCTAAATTGAGTAGGATCCACATCCTGCTCATCCTCACTTCTGGACAGCTGCAACCTTGCTTCAGCTGGTGTTATGGCAGCATTACAATGCTTCATATCACACATTTTCAAGATTTGAAGAGCATATCTCATTTGATGCATGAGTAGTCCCATTTTTTACTTATGGAACTCCATGCTAAGGAAGTATGTCATAATCCCAAGGTCACTCATCTCAAAAAAAAATTATAAGTTCACTCTTGAACTTAGAAATACTCTTTCTAATTTTTGTTCGTGATCAATAAATCATCCACATATAGACAAATTATGATCACACTTTTAATTGCATTCGATTTCACATAAATTCTATGCTCGGACACACATTTCTTGAAGCCAACATCAATTAGGAAACTATATATTCGCTTGTTCCAAGTTCTCGGAGCTTGCTTCAAACCATATAAGTCTTTTCTCAACTTGTAGAACCTATCCTCTTGATTATTCACAATAAAATCAAGGGGTTGTTCTACATACACCTCTTCCTCAAGTGGACCGTTCAAAAACGCGGATTTTACATACATTTGATAGATGGACCAGCTGTTGTTATTCGCAATACCAAAAATCAGCCGTATGGTTTCAAGTCTAACAACTGGTGCAAACACTTCATCAAAGTTTATACCTTCTCTTTGCAAAAATCCTTCTGCAACTAATCGAACCTTATGCTTGATTATTTCACCTTTGGGATTTGCCTTCACTTTATATATACATCTCACACCAATTGGCTTCTTACCTTTCGGTAAATTGACCAACTCCCAAGTATTGTTTCTCAATCAATTCCAGCTCCTCTTTCATTGTGCACACCCACTTTGAATCACTTAATGTCTCTTCCGTGTAAACGGGCTCAGATTCGTCCATAAGCGCAAAGTGAGCGAAATCACCATCATCATTGATCTTGTTATTCCGAAATACTTCACAACCTTTGAGTCTATGAGGCAAACCTCTTTGCCTAGTTGGTCGTTTACTATTTTCCATGATTACGGCTTTGACGGATTATTGTTTTGTACCTCCTTCAACCTGAGAATTGGAATTTTCGTGCCCGTGACGGGTTACAAGATTCTGGTAACTGGTTACGCCTTATGCAAAACTAGTTCCAGCAGTCTGGGAATTTTGAAAACCGCGCTCGTAACCGATTACAACATTCTGGTAACCCGTTACAAGACCTATCAAAATAGTTTTTCTGTTGTCAAATCGCTTCAGTTCGTCAACCATGACATCTTGATTGATTACAATCTTCTTGTTTGCAACATCAGATAACTTATAACCTCCAGTAGGATGATAGCTAACAAGTAATATCATCTCACCTTTATCTTCCAACTTCTTTTGAAGCTCACCCGGAACGTGTCAAAATGCTATCAAACTGAAAACCTTCAAATGACTCAAGTTTGGTTTTAATTCAGACCATACCTATTTTGGAGTTACTTTATCAAGCTTCTTTATAGAGCATCTATTCAACAAATAGGCAGTTGTAGAAACGGCTTCACCTCATAGCTCATTCGATAAGTCTTTTCCCTTTAACATGCTTCTAACCATTTTCATGATTGATCAATTTCATCTAGGCAACACTATTCTATTGTATAGGATGGTACAGTCTCATGCACTATCCTCTCTTCATCACAATATTTCCCAAAATCATTTGAGGTATACTCGCCTCCACCATCTGTTTTGAGAATTTTGAGTTTGTGACCGATTTGCCGCTCATTGAGAAAAGTGACAAAATACTTATTACCACCATACGAATCAACTTGCATTAGACCACACACATCAGAGTACACCACCTCAAGATGATGCTTGGTCATATGACCCGAATCCTTGCTGAACTTGTTCTTATGTTGCTTCCCTTGAATACACTCTTCACAAATCTCAGCTGAAATTTCGATCGATGGAAGTTTGGTTACCATACCCTTCCTTTGTAACGCGCTAAGGTCTCTAAAATTGAGATGTCCAAGACAGTAGTTCCGCAACCACTCATCTCGACATGCCGCTATAGCAAGACGCCTGCTCCATCACTTTCTACTCTATCTTGAAAGTTTTGTTAGCAATCATAGGCGCTTTAAGGACCAAAACCATGTTTGCATCCAAAACGCACAAAATCTTGTTTTCCATGCGAATAATGTAATTCTTCTCAAGTAATTGGCTAATACTTAAGAGATTACATTTAATTCCTGGAATGTATAGCACATCTTTTATCAAAGAATGACCATCATCCCTTCTCATGATCAAAACATCACTGACTCTGTCGGCCGCTAAAGTGACATCATTCACGAATTTCACTCTATTCTTCGTAGCTTAATTGATTTTGACAAACCAATCCTTCCTACCCGTCATATGCGTTGAACAATCAGAGTCCAAGTACCATTCCTCACTGCATTAAACCCCATCTCACACAATCACCATAACATTTTCTTTCGAACGTGTTTTTGCAGCATTCTCAAAACTACTACTGATGTTATCCAATAACTTTCTGCTACTGCAGTGGCTGTCCAGCAGCTTGGTACTGCTGCAATCACCTTATGTGAACATCACTAAGACCATTTTTTCATCATCCACCTCTTGTCTTGCAATTTTAGCCTCATTTCCATGAGATTCCCTCGACTTAACACTACAATCACGTGCATAGTGACCAAGTTTTTGATAGTTCCAATATTGTGCTTTACTATTGTCAATCCTCTTGGTATAGTTGCTTTGATCACCATTCTTGCAGCTGGTCTCACCCCTTTGACATGTCGAAAACTTCAAATTTTATGGATCTTTTTCACCAAAGTTCTGAAAACTGCCTTTGTTCTTCGCAGGTCATTTTCCTTTCAACTTCTCGTTATTTTCATTAAACCGTGCTTGCAAAGCGATCTCCGCCTTTGTTTTGTCGTTACTCCTCTCATCCATCTTTTGTTCATGACCCTTAAGAGAGATTTGAAGCACTTTTTTGCTCAATGTCGGAAGATCCTTCGACTCTTCAATGGCCACTACAATGTTGTCAAATCTTGGTGTCAAAGAACGCAAGATTTTCGATACAATATTCTACTCCAAAACAGTTTCTCCACAAGACTTGATTTGATTTACCAAATGCGTAATGCGCATTACGGAGTCGTTGATTGTCTCTTTCTCTTTCATTTGAATCAATTCTAATTGTCGCTTGTGAGTTTGTAACGTCACCACCTTTACTTTATCAACTCTTTCATAAGTCTTCTTCAAGATCTCCCATATTGTTTTGTCGAATCGCAATCACCAACTTTCTCAAAATTATCATTATCGATGCAAGAATGGATCAAGAACAGTGTCTTGTAGTCTTTCTTCTTCTCTTCCTTGTGTGCAACATTTTGTGCCTCTATTGCCTCTACAACAAGGAGAGTAACTTCATTGTTGATCACTTCAATAACATCTTGATATCCAAACAACACCTTCATTTGTTTGCATTATTTATCGTAATTCTTCGAATCAAGGGTTAAAAGGTTAGTGGGGACTCGATCGTTGGAGACGACAATCATCTTTGAACAGCAGATTGTGGATCAGAACCATAGCTCTTGAAGTCAAATGTTAGAACATTCAATTAGAGAGAAAATAAAGTGGAAAAAATAAGAGAAGAGAGAGAGAGAGAGAGAGAGAGGAGAGAGAGAGAGAGAGAGAGAGAGAGAGAGAGAGAGAGAGAGAGAGAGAGAGAGAGAGAGAGAGAGAGAGAGAGAGAGAGTAGTTGAAGGTGAAAAGATAATCTTTTCTTTAATTTTGCACATTACAACATTGAGACTATTTATACAAGTTAAAAAAGCCAAAACACGGGTTGGTAACCGGTTACGCAAAACCATATAATTGATTACCACAGCAAAATAACATAAACAAGAGTCCACATGTAACTGGTTACATCATCCTATAATTACGAATCCTGATAAACAATTTTTTTTACTTTCAAAATATTTTTTTAATAAGCTGAAACCTCCGATTAAGTTCGAGAAACTTATAACTTTTATTCAAATTATTATAAACTTCCAATAATTTTCACCTACTACCCCCACAAATTTTGATGGAATGAACAATTTGTCATGTTGAATCATGAAATTTCAAAACAATAGAATGGAATATTCTTTCGGCTCTTCTCCACTACGGTCCGTTAATTTTAATTTTATGATATCAATGAATGCAGCAACCCAACCTTGTGACACAAATGGTCTTTGTTTGAGTCATTCAATCACATTCTATCAGTAGCTGCTGGTGCATGAAAAAACATAAAAACTCTTCTAATAAATCTCAATAAATTTGAGACATCAGTCTCAGAATTGTGCGCCGAAATATTTAGTTTATCTCAGCAACTTCACAAGGAATGGACCATGTTCTCATACAAGCCAAAACCGCATTCACCGCTGAGTCTCATGGCCCAAAAGCGGTTGATAGTATCACCACCACACTCTTCTTCTCCAGCTCCAGCTTCAGCTTCAGCTTCGGCAACCACCCATTCATACAATGCAATCATCAACCGCCATTCAACCCAAGGCTCTCACCGCCAAGTTCTCATCACCTACACATCCATGCTCAACGCACACGTCCCTTCTGATGCCTACACCTTCCCCAGTCTTCTCAAAGCATGCTCCTCTCTTAACCTCTTTCTCCCCGGCATTTCACTCCATCAACGCATTATAGTTAATGGGTTATCAACGGATTCATACATTGCCTCTTCTTTGATCAATTTCTATGTTAAATTCGGGTTTTCTCAAGTTGCTCGTAAAGTGTTTGACTTTATGCCTGAGAGAAATGTTGTACCTTGGACTACCGTTATTGGGTGTTGTTCTCGTATGGCTGATGTTCATGAGGCCTTTTCTTTGTTTCACCAAATGCGTTACCAAGGAATTCAACCGAGTAGCGTTACTTTGTTGAGTTTGTTGTTTGGAGTTTCGGAGATTTCTCATGTGCAGTGTTTGCATGGTTGTGCAACTTGTTATGGGTTTATGTCAGATTTGAACTTATCAAACTCTATGCTGAATGTGTATGGGAAATGTGGAAGCATTGGAGATTGTAGGAAGTTGTTTGATTTTATTGATCAAAGAGACATTGTTTCATGGAATTCTTTGTTATCTGCCTATGCTCAAATTGGGGATTTATGTGAAGTTTTGCTGCTTCTCAAGACAATGAAGGTCCAAGGTTTTGAGCCTGGTTTACAGACTTTTGGGTCTGTGTTGTCTGTGGCTGCGTCAAGAGGTGATATGAGATTAGGTAGGTTAGTTCATGGCCAGATTTTAAGAGCTGGTTTTGACTTAGATGCACATGTTGAAACATCATTGATTGTAATGTACTTAAAAGGTGGAAACATTGATGTTGCGTTTAGAATGTTTGAGACGAGTTTAGATAAGGATGTAGTTTTGTGGACAGCAATGATCTCAGGCCTTGTGCAGAATGAGAATGCAGACAAAGCACTTGCAGTTTTCCATCAGATGTTGAAATTTGGGATGAAGCCGTCTACTGAGACTATGGCCAGTATGATTACAGCTTGCGCACAAATGGGTTCTTATAATATTGGTACATCTATTCATGGTTATATATTAAGGCGAGAATTGTCATTGGATACTGCTGCTCATAACTCTCTTGTTACCATGTATGCAAAATGTGGCCACTTGGATCAGAGTTCTATTGTATTAGGTAAGATGAGCAAAAGGGATTTAGTTTCATGGAATGCCATAGTTGCGGGATATGCTCAAAATGGCTATGTTTATAAGGCATTTTCTCTTTTTAATGAAATGAGGTCTAGTCGTCAAACACCCGATTCAATAACCATTGTTTCCCTTCTTCAAGGGTGTGCGTCCACGGGGCAACTACACCCTGGAAAATGGATCCACGGGTTTGTAATAAGAAATGGTCTTAGGCCTTGCATCTTGGTTGATACTTCTTTGGTAGATATGTACTGTAAGTGTGGTGATTTGGACACTGCCCAGAGGTGTTTTAACCAAATGCAAAATCATGATTTGGTCTCATGGAGTGCCATAATTTCAGGATATGGCTATCACGGTAGAGGGGAAACTGCATTGAGGTTATACTCAAAGTTTCTAGAAAGTAGGATTAAACCCAACCATGTGATTTTCCTCTCAGTTTTATCTTCTTGTAGTCATAATGGACTTATAGATCAAGGCTTGAACATATACGAATCTATGACTAGAGATTTTGGGATTGCACCAAATCTCGAACACCATGCTTGTGTGGTAGATCTCCTCTGCCGTGCTGGAAAAGTAGAGGAGGCGTATAACTTGTACACGAAAATGTTCTCTGATCCTGTACTCGGTGTGTTGGGCATAATCCTCGACGCTTGTCGAGCAAATGGTAATGATGAACTTGGTGATACAATTGCGAATGATATTCTCAAGCTGAGGCCTATGAGTGCTGGAAATTATGTACAACTAGCACACTGCTATGCTTCAACTAAGAAATGGGAAGGTGTGGGTGAGGTTTGGACTCATATGAGGTCTCTTGGCTTAAGAAAAATTCCTGGCTGGAGCTTTATTGACATACATGGGATCATCACTACTTTTTTCACCGATCATAACTCACACCCTCAGTTTCTAGAAATAGTGGACACCATGAAAATCTTGAGAAAGGAAATGAACAAAATGGAGGAAGTGGACATTAACTTTGAAAGCAAAAATACCCATCATTATAACATATGTGATGAAAAGTTATTATGAATCATATTTATTAATATATCATTTAATTTTAAATCTTCCTTGATGTTTAGCCTATGATTATTTTGGTCTACATTTTTTTTTTTAATTTATGGGTGAAAAATTAGAGGTTAGTAGATAAACTAGCTAAATAAATTTAGTTTTCTGATAAAATTAGAAATTGAACAAAGCGATAAATATAAAATAACATTAAAATATGTTTTTAATTAACATCTAAATTTTATCAATCAACATCAAACATGAAAAATGTTAAGTTATAATTTAAATAAGTTTGTGTTGACTAATTTTAAAATATTTAGAAATCATATATTTGAAATGTATATTTTATTTATCTAATCTAGCTACCATTAACTATTAAAATGATTTTTATTCTATATAAAGAAAATATTTTTATTTCTATCTAACAAACAATGAACATGCATAGTTTCTTTAGTGTAATATACTAATTGACATATAACAATAGATATTGATAATAGGAAAAATATTCAACAATAAAATATGTGTTTGCAAAGCTTACAATTTTCTATTTTAGTTAATAGTGGCCAGAAGATGAACTTAATTAAAATTAATAAAAATAAAACGAGAGAAAAATACTAAACTATAAACTCATAACTATTTAGTACCACAATTAATTTGAGTGAAATAAATAAGCTTAAATTAGTTAATTAATTATTTAATTAACAAGAGAATGACCAAAACAAAATAATAAATAACACTAGAGAAGAGTAATAATTAAGAAGAGACACACGTAGGCATGCATGTGATGTGAGTGAAAGATGAGAGTGAGAGAGATACGCAAATCTTGAAACTGAATTACCATAACGAACCCAAAATCATCAAGATCTTGTTAATTTCCCCAATAATTTGCTGCCAAATCAAGATGAATAGGAGGCAGCAAAGGGCATTCAAAGTGTTGTTTTGGATTATGGGAATCTGTCTAACGTGTTATCTTGCAGGACCACCTTTGTTATGGACACTCCGCGACACCTTCAGTTCTGATTCTTCTTCTTCTTCTTGTCCCCCTTGTCATTGTGATTGTTCTCTTGAATCCCTTCTTTCCATCCCAGAAGGTTTCATTCTCATTCTCCTCTCAATTTTCTACTTTTATTTATATTTTTTCAGAAACGACAAAGATTGTGTTTTCTTTCTGAACTTATGTTGTTTGATTATTAACATAGACACTCATCATGGTTGGTCTAACATTGATTGTCGTTTTGCTAACATGGTATCTCTGCTGGTTTTATGCTGCAGGATTGGGCAACAATTCTATTTTAGGTTAGTTCTCTTTTCCTATGTTACACTATAGAAAAAGCAATAGGTACGAGGTAATGAATAAACTTATTATAAGGAAAATGATTTTTTTTTGTCCTTCTAATGGCTGGAATTTACACTTTTTAAAAGTGAATAAATGAGATGTCATATGTTTGAAATCGCGTCTTTACATCTGATATCTCTGTACAACTATCAACTTAACTTGTTTAATAGGACATTATAAGGAAAATGTTATACATTTGTATTTAATAAATAAGTGTGATGATTATAATTATACAAAGGTTTATAAATTATGATTTTTGAGTTGAAAACTAGTACAATTTAATCTATGGAAAGTTTTACATGATGTTTGATTATTATATTATATAGATTGTATGAGGCAGGATCCAGAGGTGAGTGAAGAAGCAGGGAAGAGTTTTACAGATCTTTTGTCTGAAGAGTTAAAGCAAAAAGAAAGTGAAGCTGAAGAAAAACAAAGACATGCTGATATATTACTGTTGGAGTCTAAGAAAATAGCTTCACAGTATCAAAAGGAAGCTGATAAATGCAATTCAGGAATGGAGACATGTGAGGAAGCTAGGGAAAGAGCTGAAACAACACTTGAAAATCAGATGAAAGAAACTGCTTTGTGGGAACTTAGAGCTCGCCAAAGAGGATGGAAACCTTCAGCTAAGAGAGCTGTAGTCCAGTTTTGAACATTGAGTATAAATGTTATCATCTTACTTGTTTTTCAATACTTTTGATTATTTCTTACATTCATTGATTTTTTATTTTGCGGCACTTGATATATTTTTTAATGAGAAATAAATACATAAGATTCTTTTTTGGTTTCATTGTAGATTTTTTATCTTTTGTTAAGTTGGTGCTAAACCATTCAGTCATCCATTGGATCATGCTCATGAACCTTAATTTGCATTCCTATAGCCATTGATTATAATTCATTTGAGAACTGTCATCATATAACAAACTATAGGCATATGTTTGTTTCCACTATGGAAATTCAATAGACGCGCGTCTGGGTCCAAAAGCTTATTTTCACAGTGGGGGAGTGAAAGAGCTATACCAAACATGCACTATATACTGCAAGTTGAAGCTTATTTTAACAGTGGGGGAGTGAAAGAGCTATACCAAACATGCACTATATACTGCAAGTTGTCTTTTTTATATTTAATGCATTTGCATGATCTTTAACAATCTTCTGTGATTAAAACTCTGGAACACAAATGTGTGACACCGTAAAACTAATGTGTTGAAGCGTGACTTAATGCTGGTTTTGAAATGAAAAATGTCACTTCATAAAACTTTTACCGCTGAAAATGCAATTGTTTTATCCAAGTTTTTCTTCAACTGATAACTCTCTTGGAGTTTGAGTTGTAAGGGAGAAAGGAGGGAAATCTTTTTATCAATCGGCAATGTGAAACGCATCAATCAAATATAAATTTTCCAAATATTATAAAAACAAATGCTTTTTCTTATACTAATAAGACCCTGCTGCTCTGTGTGACTGATCGTTGTTACAATTATGGTTTCATGTACAAAATCTCTAACTGAGCTAAATAAATGGTCCTATCAGCTTGTTACACAGCTTTAGCTATTTCCACCAAAGCTACAAACTTGCCTTCAAAATTCATGTGTGGAGTATGTTGTTGTGTATGACGAGATGCGATTCCATTTGATGTTGGAACTTTGGAAGTCTATGTCTCTAAGTAAGTCAGTTAGATATCAGTTTACGGCTAAAGAGTGATTTGGACAGAAGCACAAGTCTCATGTCTCAAAGGTCATTCATTGCCTAGTAATGCGGAAAGTTCAAAATGGTCAATAACTCCGTCACTCAACAGGCGCATAGCTGCTCCCCGGGAGAATTTCCTAGCAAACAAAAAACATGGAACAGAGGTTGAATTGCTGTGACACCATTCTGTCCGGTACTCAGTCTCATAATAAACATGGCTGATGTCCTGTTTTAAAAAAATAAAACATGAGGAAAAGAAAATAGTTGCACGAAAACATGTAATCACTTCAACAAACATTGGAAAATAGTTTTGCTGATGTATGAGGAACCAGAAGATACCTTTATTTCCTTTATCTTTCGAGGACCAGCATTTGCATAGCTGAAGGTAATAGGATGCCAGCCTTTATTATCTGTTTTTGTTGCCGACTGGTTCCACAAAGTATAGGTCACTGTTCTGCGTTCAAGTTCACCTTCAAGGCCGTGCAGCTAGCAAAATAGCACAAAAACAGAAATATATAATAAGATTTATTGTATTATAAACAATAGTCGAGCAAATTAACCCTTGAAGTGTTATTGCACATTATTTCACTAAGGTCATTGAGGAATAAAGCAAAAACAATAATATAAGAACACATCCCCTGACCAACAAATGTTGATAATGAGAAAAAATATATCAATACTTACTGCAAGCAATGTCTGCACATAGTGCTCATCTGGAATACAGTTGTGCTGCTTCTGAAGTTTCTGCACTTACCAAAACCATATCAAATATCAAATGATTACCATTAAACCATATCCATAGCAAATAATAATAAAAATGAAAATAAACTAATTATATCGTAAAGTAGTTAATGAGTAGCATCACAGCAGCATCAGTACTATGAACATTATGGTTTCATTGTACTCAATAGAGGAAGTATATTGTTGACGCTGACAACAAAGAAAATATCCATTCGATGTCCGATTTGTGGGTGTAAAAAGTAACCATAATCTCATGAGATGTAAAAAAAAAAGCAATTCACTTTTAGCCATAATGATTTAATCATCAACTGTTCAATCTCAGTCTCCTCTAGATCTTTGACAAAAATTACCTACTAGAATTATGCTACAAAAGGGAAAGTGGGAATCAAAATACTCATACTGCTGACAATTAATTTTCTCAAGATGTTTTGAAACAGAGTTTCATCAAAAGAAATTCACAAACTAGTAAATTAGAGACATATCATCCCATGACTTATCAATGTTTTGAAAACCACACAAGTTAAACTGATTAAGGGTGGTTCCCATGACTTATCAATATTTTGAAAACCAGACAAGTTAAACTGATAAGGGTGGTTTTCCTTGTTTACCAACTTCAAAGACGGTTTTCGGTATTGCAGTTCTGAGAGCTTGGCAGGACCAGTACATAGACTGTCAGTTTAACTTTCAGAACTTCGCTACACATATAAGACATATTCTACACGAGTGAACGCAGCAGCTTATGATCTAGTTTGATTTTTTTAAAAAGGCTTAGTTGTAGTTTGAATCTCATGTTTGATTCAATGTGGGGTTTTGATCCCTCCATTTCTAAATTTGAGATTTTAGTCCCTCAACTTTTAAAACTTCGACATTTTGCTCGCTTGTAAAATTATGGCAAAATTTTTGGCTGTGTCATGTGATATGATAATGTGTAGAATTGTCATGAGTTTAAAACAAAAATGGGTCAAGACAGGCAAAAAAAATGTACTATAGATTGTTAGGATAGGAAATCAGTCAAACTGAGCAAAAATGTCATAATATCACTTGTTATGTCATCATGACAATTTTCAAATTATCATATCACCTTCCACATCAGATCACTTGTCAAAACATAGAATTTTTATCTCAAATTTCACGTGTGGATAAAATGAATACATATTTTAGAAAATGAAAACAAAATGTTTTCACAAAAAAAAACAGGGTCTAAATTTTCTAATAGTCAGATACAATTATTTGGAGCTTCCAGTATAATCAAACATTTCTTCAAAGCATCTATCTTTCAAGTAATAACTCCCTATTAAAAGGGAAGAATGTAAGAAAACTAAAACTAGACCACTTACAAGATTCAGCTTTCCCTTTCTGATATCAATTGGTGGACGTCTCTGCCAAGGGAAAAGGACATTAGTAGGTTTTTTTCAATAGTATTAGCACATTAGACTTGCAGTTAGTCCAGTCTAGTATAGTAATGTATGCTAAGAAGCGTTCAGTTTTGAAACCTTTCTGATGATTTTGATGTAATATCAACCAACTTTGATAAATGAATACAAGAATAATGTATCCAATGTAGTATTGTAGTTTAAGTAACTAATGATAGCACACATACCTTACAGTATCTTTTAAAGACAGAGAAGATAACTTCATCATCAACAATGACTTCTGCATGGTTACGAACTAAGGTGACCCACTGTAAAAACAGGATAAATTCAAATTAGGACATTGGAAAAAAAAAGGTTGAAGATTTCATCCAACAATCCCGGCGTAACAAGTCCTGCTAAAATTCCCATACTAGAACTTACCCACATAACATGGCAAGTGGAGCACTATAATTTTATCAGTAAGCACTAAGCACTCACCATGTAACCAGTGTTATCGATGGCGGATGGCGGTCCATGGCGGAGAGCCAAAATCCCGCCATACTGGCCGCTTCGCGGCGCCGTTATAGCGGATTATGGAGGAAAACCCCACAATATTGGCCGATATATACCATTGCAGCGAGCCCAAAAATCGCCAAGTATATCCACCATAGCGGCCATGGCGCCGCCATTTGATAACACTGCATGTAACCAATGTCAGCTTTGTGAAGCAACACTGGCTTTAGTTTGTAGTAATATGACAGCAATAAACTATTTGTTCCCCAAATAAGTCAAAAAAAAGATTGCATACAACCACTAAATTATACCTAGATGAAGGCCAAATGAAAAGGAACCTTAGAGGCTTTTTGGCAACCCTTAAAACCAGTTTAGAATTATTTAAAATAAACTTGCCATATAAATTCAAGACTTTCGGGTTATTTTGCAACTAATTTCAAATTAATTCCTAGTTTAGTTAAAATTTGTCAATGGTTATACAGAGAATAACAGAAGTAGACTGCATCTATATTTGGTGACAAAAGAGGAAAGAAACTTTTATACAAATATAAAACGAAAGAAACGATATTCAAAATAAATACAAAACTATGCAGAAAAAATAGGAAACCTTAAAAAATGGAATACAAAAAACCAACTTTTTATATTATTTTTACCTGAACTAATTTTAGCTTAAAAATGGATTTATATAACTAGTTTTTAAAGCCTCCAAATAACAACGACCACCACCTACATTTTCCCAGCTAGGTGGGGTCTACATCATGGATCAATCATCAATTGAAGTCATAAAGCCCTATTGTATACTAGATTCAATGACAGACCATTTACCTTTAAATCTCTCTAAATGGTCTTTCTTCACTCTACATGATTGTATTTCTGATCTATGAAGCACGGACACCTCTAGGGGAAGGCGTGTCGCAGTGTCCGACACGCGTCGGTGTCCGACACTTATACGACACTCGTACAACACGTGCGGAAAAGTCAAACATTTAAATCGGTAACCGCCCGTATGACACTAATATAGCACGTGTCGAAAAATTGTGTTTTTTCTCGGAAAAGTCAAACATTTAAATCGGTAACCGCCCGTATGACACTAATATAGCACGTGTCGAAAAATTGTGTTTTTTCTTTGCTTAAAACACACCTTATACATATTTTGGAGAGATCTCACATTCATCCAAAAGGGTTAAACATGTATTGAAACAATATTATAAAGACATTACTTTTGATTAGAATATTTTTAACTCATTTAGAAATAGATGAATAAATGAAGGTCAAATAATATATTATATATGTAGCGGTGTCGGTGTCCTATGTTTTTGACATTATAGTTGTCAGAGTGTCTGTGTCGTATCCCAGTATCCGTGCTTCATAGTTTTTAATCCTATCTTGTCTTGTATATCCACACATCCCTCATAACATTCACATCTCCACCACTGTACTATCCAAAATCCAAATGCTTCATTCTATTATTGGCTACATATCTGTACATCCAATTTCTATAGTTTGGCAAACATCCCCTTATACTCTATCAATCCTTCAACAAGCCAAATTGATGCTTCTTAATATGCTAGTATCAACTAAATTTGTGTGTGAACAAAAAAGAAACTACTTTTATACAGAGGTCCGTGACAGCAATCCGGGCCGTGGCGTAATTGTTTATCATGTGACTGGAACTTCAAAGCGCCACAATTAAGACTACATCAGTTGTATATGACCATGATTCAAAACACTGCCATTATTGTGATCGCTCTTTAAAACTTTGAATTAAACCTAGCCAATAGGTTGTATTTGTGCAACAAATAAATAAAAAAACATGACAGTAGACAAAAAAATGCCAAGAGAAAGGGTCGTGTATGATTGGAATGAACAACAACGAGGTTCGGTAAGACGAAATTAAAGATAAGAAAATAACCTGGGACCCTTTACGCCATTTTTCCCTTGGTATCTTAGGTGACATTCTTGGGTTATAGCGCCCCTCTTTTGCATCTAGAAAGCTGTAACAATATAAACAAAACAGTTCAATTCACCCGTCAAATATATTAGTGTAGACTGATTATGACCGAGCAATGAAAATAAATAAGTGCTAAGCACCTCAAGAACCAAAGCCTTCTTCTACCTGTCCACAAAACTCCTTGGAGAAACCATGATATAATTGTACACATAGGAAAAGTTGTACAGAGGAACACAGCTGCACATGGAAAACAGAAACTCAGATTCTTATCACAGCCAAGTAATGTTTATGCAGACACATATCTCAAGAAATGTTAAGAAAACGAAGAAAAGCAACAGAGAAAAAAAGAAAACAATCTGGCAAAAACTTATGTTAATACAAGACTCGAAAATACCAACCTATCCGAGAGAAGAACAAATCTTTGATTTGCAGGGTCTTCCAAAGCCGCCGACAATAACAGCCTTTCAGCCTGAATCATACTCGATTCTCCCCATAAAACCTAAGATATACAACTCTGAATTCTTAAAAACATGTGATAAAACAACAAGTCCCAATTCCAGAGAACAAATGACGGTATCATAATTTAAGTTCAACTACTTCTGAACAAACCTGTCAGGCTAAAATCATAAACTCTGGCAATAAGTATCCTAAAAGAGGTTCACACTAAAACTGTCCAACATCAAATGCTTTGTGGAATTTCTATGACAATCTGATAGACCTCAAATTAGATATGTGTAGTAGGAGGTGGAAAAAGGGAAATAAGGTAGGATAATCATCACCATCGCCCCATTCTCAGTTACAAGATCATGTATTTGGGTAAGCTAGAAACAAAATTATGAAATTGGCTGTGATGTTTCCATCATGCAACCATCACATCACAATTTAGTTTTCAACATAAATAACAAAAATAGAGACTTTATAACCAATTTGGCATGGTCTTACAATCATAGAATAGTCCACCTCCTATGCTATTTATTTTCAAATAAAATGAAAACATTGAATTGGAAAAGAGAGTTTTGAACTCACCTGAATGCTATTGGTGAGTTGTCGACCGTAGAAAAAGTGAGACCTTGTGGTAGACTCATCCAACACAAACCCTGGCGTTGAATGAACATAAATGGAGAAATTGGAAACGTCACCATTCTGAAAGAAGGCACCCCAAAGAAAATCAAGAGGAACATTGCGGCGAACTAGGAACAAGAAAGCGATTTTGGGAGGACCATAAAAAAAAGCGGTCGAAATTCGAATAGAGGGTTTGGTAGAATTGGAGTGAAGACTGAAGAGACCTGCGGTGACTAAAACGACGACGCAGAAGATTGAAACGGTGAAGACGATGAACAGCTTGCAGCTTAACCTACTGGACACGTGGCGTCTCTTCACTGTTCTTGCCGCCATTTCCAATTTACAATTCCCAAACCAACTATGTTATTAATATTAATGGAAAATAGAAAAATGCTATGTTGATGATGATATAACCAAGATGAACAAGAATGATGAAGTGGAATTGGTTGAAGATGAAATGAAACAGCACTTTCCTTTCACGGGACATGCGTTGCGATATCCGCGCGTCAAAACGTCGTCGTTGACGCTGATTTTACCGATAGTAACGCTGGGTCCTACCTCGTATACGTGTTCTAGGCTGTAGCGCCGAACGCGGCACCGTTACTCGATCGCACTGTTTTGGAATGCAATGCAAGCAAGGAGAGTCTACTTTTTTCTTTTTCTTTTTTTTTTTATAAATAAGATGAACACTAATACACCGTTTAGTTTTCAATGTCATGTCAATATTTTATATTTATTTTATTTTAAAATTGTTAGAAAGGGGCACAGTCGTGCCCGACGTACTCCCTGAAGTCACGTGCTCGACCTCTACATCTCCAGCTCGATATCCTGCTGTCCAGCTCGACATCACCTCGAGCACCCCCAACTAGGGCAGACTCAGTCCACTGCACTCCCAACGAGACTCCGAAAAGACCGCGTCTCCGTCCGCCCGCACTTCACGCAGAACATCCAGGAAGGGGACCACGTGCGGGTCCCCACTACGCACGTAGAACCTGGCAGTTCCCCCATTGGGCCAAACCTACCCGGCCCAACGGAGGAACCTTGGCCCAGCGCTAGGGGCTATAAATACCCTCTGTTTCCAGAGGGTCAGGGATTCATCATTCTACACGTACACTTATTATTGCCTGCTCGTGCTTCTACTTACTTCAGCATCGGAGTGCCTTGCAGGTACCCCCCACCTCGTTCAAAAAGCTTTCAGCTCAGAGCCAGCCGTGACGGTCCATTTCTGATCAGGTCAGATCAGTAGCGTCGTCTGTGGGAAACTAGCTTCCCCGTCTTACAAACAACTCAAAAGACCAAAGCTCAAAATTCAACTACCTGTCATGGCTGATCCAGCTCGCGATGAGCAGAACGTCCGCGTCGCCGACACCAATAACGGCACGGCGGACAAAAACGGACACCTCGATAACCCCGGCGACCCCGGCCATAGTACCATTCCTGTGACGACCGCCCCTGGAACTTCCTCCTACAGGGACGGGGCTACTGCATCATCCTCCCCGCTCCCACCACCACTTGAAGACGACCCGGCGGCCCTCGCTCATTACAGAGTTTCCCGGTTCCATGAAGTCTCAGTTCCCGCCGGGGCAGATACCACGACTCAGGCACTGTTCGCGGCCATTAATCAGACAAACTATCTCATCTTCGCCCAAGGAGAAAGACTAAGGGCGCTTGAAGATTACCGAAGACCCCCGAGGAGGCATCGGAGGCCATATTCTCCACCTCCTCGGGTCACAGAAGTTCGACACCCTTCTCCCCCGCGGAGACACTACAGGGAGAACTCCAAAAGCCCCTTTCCCCGGCCAAAGCAGAGGCGCCCCTATTTGGAGAGACAACCCGTCATCCCTGCCGGAGAACCCAGTCGCGACCCGGCAAGGCACGACAAGAGACACGCCGGGGACGGGCGTGTAACATTCAACCACCGAGCATCACGCTCGAGGGAGACTCAGCACGACCACCGTGCCAGACAATACTACAGGTCCCCATCTCTGTCTCCGGAGAGGAGCGACGAGGACGACCCCCGCGGTCCCCTGTCGCAGGCCATCATGGATGCACCCATCCCCCCGGGCATGGAGAAGCCCCCACATCTGAAGGAGTATGACGGAGTTGCGGACCCGGTCGACCACATTGACGGGTTCGAGGCCATGCTCCATTATCATAATGTCGGGGGGCCCATCAAGTGTCGTCTTTTCCCCACGACTCTCAGGAAGGCGGCCATGGACTGGTACAAAGGCCTCGCCCCGGGCTCAATCACCTCGTGGCGGAACCTGAAGAACCAGTTCATCAGTTCCTTCACCGCTTCTCGACGCCATCCAAAGACCGAGGCGCCGCTCGAGGCCATCATCCAAAGACAGGATGAGACCTTGAGGGAGTTCATCAACCGCTTCAACCGAGAAGTGATACAGGTCCCCTGCACGGACCACATGAAGAGATATCTGCTGGACAGGGGGCTCCTCCCCGACACAGAATTCAGAAAAGCCGTGGGAATTGAGTCGCCCAGGTCTTTCGATGCCCTCCTCGATAAAGCTCGAGCATATATGGATTACGAGGAGAGGGAAGATGTCAACAGGGCCCGAGACTCCAGGACTCGGGGTCCCAACAACAGCAGCAACTCACGCCAAGAGGCTCCTCCCCGACGTACCGGGGAGAAAAGGAAAGAAGATCGACCCCGGGAAGTCCGGGAACAAAGGGGCCCATCGGGCCGTTTCACCGAGTACACTCTGCTCACAGCTTCCCGCGAGCGTATTCTGGCGGAATGTGCCAGTACAGACTTCAAGGACGGCGGCGTCAAGCGTCCCCGACCTGCTCCCGCCAAGCCAGGGGCGGACAAAAATAAATACTGTCAATACCATAGGAGTCATGGTCATTTGACAGAGGACTGCGTCCACCTCAAGGACGCCATTGAAACCCTCATCAAGGGAGGGAGGCTCGCGCAATACAGGCGAAACGACGCTCCCCGTCGTGACGCCCATGAAGCCAGGGAGCCAGAAGAAGACGCCCGACCATCAGACGAGTCGGTGCCTATCCAGACCGCCTTCTCGGTAACCAGGCTCGAGGATTTCGACATTCCCGAGCACCTGCAGGAGCCGCTGACAACGCACAGCAGGTGGGAATACTTTCCCTCCGCCATGGTCATCAACGGGGGCGGGTTCAACGACCTCACCATCAATTCAGCTAAGAGGAAGTTGGACGAGTTGGTCGACGCGGCTCCCCCGCAAACAGTAACGTTCGAAAGGATGAAGAGCAGGTCAGAGCCCATCACCTTCTACCTAGAAGAGCTCCCCGGTGGAGCCCCGAACGCGGTCATCTCCTTACTGATAAGGGCAAGAATGGCTAATTTCGACGTGCATCGCATCCTGGTCGACGAGGGGAGTTCCGTCGACGTGATGTACAGCTAACTGTTTCGAACCTTACAGCTGGACGACTCACATCTCTCTCCGTATGTGGGGTCGGATCTACAAGGCTTCAACGACTCGACTTCCAAACCTTGGGGTTATGTCAAGCTCCTGGTTACGTTCGGTGAAGGAACGGTTACGAGACAAGTTAAAGTCCATTTCCTCGTCATTGACTGTCCGTCTCTATACAATTGCATCTTGGGGAGACCGACACTGGCAGAGCTGACAGCGGTGCCCTCGACCGTCCATCTAAAGATGAAGTTCTACACCAGGAGGGCACGGGTAGCCACCATCCAAGGAGACCTAGCCGCTGCCCGCAGGTGCTTCAACGCTGCTTCTAAGGGATGGGATACCGTCGACATAGGGACCAGACCCGCTAAAAGGACAAAACAGGAGCCCGACAGGAAAGCATCCCCCGAGGAAGAAGTCCAGAAAGCTCCACCAAAGGTCGACTCCATAGCCCTCGACACCCGCTTCGATCAGGACGAGCCATCCAGCAGCGAGCAAATCCCACTCCGACCAATACCAGACGGGGATTATGAACTCGTTCCCCTCGACACAGACCCGACCAAGGGAGTGAAGATTGGCAAAGACCTCCCCGACTTGGCCAGGAAGCAAATCAAGGCGTGTCTGCGCGAGAATGTTGATCTCTTCGCCTGGAGCGCTGCGGAGATGCCCGAACTCGACCCTGAGGTCGCCTGTCACCACCTCGCCATTGATCCAGCCGCCAAGGCCGTAGTACAACGTAGGCGTAGGCAGTCTCCAGAAAAAACGGAGGCTGCTGAAAAAGCTGTAAAAGACCTCCTAGAGGCAAATTTTATTTCTGAAGCCCGGTATCCCACCTGGCTGTCAAATGTTGTACTTGTGAAAAAGAATAATGGAAAATGGAGAATGTGCGTTGATTATACTGATCTCAACCGGGCTTGCCCGAAAGATGCTTTTCCCTTGCCTAACATAGATATGCTGGTCGACAATTCGGCCGGCTACAAAACTTTGTCGTTCATGGACGCCTATTCGGGATATAACCAAATCCCAATGGCCTTGGGCGACAATCACTGCACGGCATTCATGACCAGCTCGGGCAACTATTACTACAACGTAATGCCCTTCGGACTGAAAAATGCCGGAGCAACTTACCAACGCATGATGAACAGAGTTTTCAACAAACAGATCGGCGACATGCTCGAGGTATATATGGACGACATGATCGTCAAATCCCGAGAAGACACCGATCACGCAGCTCATCTCAAGACAGTCTTTGCCCAAGCAAGACAGTGTAAAATGAGGTTCAACCCCGAGAAATGTACGTTCGGGGTTAAGGCAGGAAAATTCCTTGGATTCTATCTAACAGAACGGGGAATCGAAGCCAACCCCGACAAATGTCGGGCATTCTCCGACCTCCCAACACCAATGTCGAAGAAGTCGATACAAATCATGAACGGCATGCTCACGTCGCTGTCCCGCTTCGTCGCGAAGTCCGCTCAGCACGCCCTCCCCTTCTTCAAACTACTTCGAAAGGAAGCAGCCTTCAAATGGAATGAGGAATGCGAGCAGGCACTACGCCACCTAAAGCAAAGTCTGTCTCAGTCGCCCGTGCTATCTCGACCAGACGACGGGGAACCGCTGTACATATACTTGGCCGTTTCAAACGAAGTCATCAGCGCAGCTCTTGTCCGTGAGACCCCCGACGGGCAGAAACCTGTCTACTTCACGAGCAAGGCCTTATAGGGGCCCGAAAGCAGATACCAGCAGATAGAAAAGGTTGCTCTGGCCCTCGTCAACGCTGCGAGGAGGCTCAGACACTACTTTCTAGCCCACACCATCATCGTGCGAACCGATCAACCGGTGAGGCAACTCCTGGGTCGGCCAGATATGGCGGGCAGGATGCTGAAGTGGTCCTTGGAACTCTCCGAATTTGACATTCAGTACGAAAGCAGGAAA